CCACTAGTGAGCATCTTTGTGAATGTTTACCTTATGATGCAGATGACAGCTGGCACCTGGGCCCGATTTGGGGTCTGGATGCTGATTGGTAGGTATCTACTTGGGAAGGGTAGGCCTCTTGGGTGTCCTATCCCAACTCTTTCTCTCTTGGTCTCGAGTAGGAGACCTATTAAGCCTTTACAGGTTGCTATTTCCCAACCTCACAGCTACCTTTCCCCACTAGGGTTTGCTATCTACTTTGGCTATGGGATCCAGCACAGCCTGGAAGAGGTTAAGAGTGATCAACCCCCACTCAAATCCAGAGCCAAAACTGTAGACCTCGATCTCAGTGGTGCCTGTACACATTCGATTTGACATCATCACACCTGAAGGCTGTCTGGTTCCCCTGCACAATAATGGAGAGGATTCCTGACCACAGAGAGCTAGGCCTCCCATGGGATGTTGGTGGGAGAACACTAGTAGAGCTCTGTATTTATTGTGGAGTGAAGGATGTGTCTTTGCTGTTTCTTGTCTAATTTTTTTAACTTGTCTACTTTTTAATTGTGTCTGTAGCTGCTCACTGACTTTTAAAACATTATTATTAAAAGAAACTAGAAAAAGAAACTATGTCCTGTTCTTTGCTTGCTTGAGATGATGTGGAGCCTGACTTTCAGTGTGGAGAGCTTCAGATAAATGTCCTTTGTTTGCTCCAGTCACCACGAGTTATCTGTTGTGCTTGTGTGTGCTTCCTGTTGGCTCAGGGTTTGAGGAAGGTAGTGTAGGCAGCCATCAAGTCTAGTCACACTTAAAGGAATGATCTTGAGATATGTTTTCCCCATGCTACACTAAAGGTTATGTTTTGAATAAGTAGATAGCAGCACTCGTCTTTGGGACTCTGATCTCAACACTGGCATTGGTCAGGGCCTACACTGAAACCATTGTCTTCTGTTCTACCCCTTCTAGTTGGACCAGTCCCAGACTCCTGTAACTGCCTGGGCAACAGAAATTTAGGCTTGGGTGTTTGGCACTGCTGGAAGGAGGGGCAGACAATAGGAGGGGTTGGTAAAGGACTGTATATGTGTATAGATACTGACTGCTACAGAAGTAATGAGGGAATAGAGGTCAGTGCTCTGCTCAGACCAAGAACTATTCATTCATCCATTTATTCAACAAACATGTGGAGCTCCTATAAAATGCTAGGCCCCATGCTGGGTACTGGGGATACAAACATGAATAAAACATAGTCCCTGCCCTTAAGGAGCTTACAATCTAGTGAGAAAGACAAATAGCTAAACATGAAACAGTACGATTTGCATCAGGGCACGGGGAAGTGCTGAGTGCTACGGAAGCACAGAGAAGGATGTGCTTGACCTGAGTCTTGAACAACAGGTATTATGAAGTGGACTGAAGGGAGGCCATGGAAGTGTGAAAAAGCGTATTGTATTTGAGGGTATGCTGTACAGTTTAATGTGGTTCAAGGGTAGCGTATATGGGTTTGTGGTGAAAGATAACAGAGACCTTATGAATAGTCTTGTATACCCTGCTAAGGAACTCACATGTTATCTTATAAATGATGTGTGTGTGAAGGAGGGGGCTAGTCACTGAAGGATTCCAAGCAAGGGGGATGGCTGGATTTGTTAGTCTGACAACAGCAAGAAGGATGGCTTGGAAGAGGGTGGGGGAAGCTAGAATAGTGTGATAATAGCTTTTTGGGTATTTATTATATATCAGATACTGTGCATACAATTTTTATTTACTTATTTATTTAAAGGAAGATTAGCCCTGAGCTAACATCTGTGCCCATCTTCCTCTATTTTATATGTGGGATGCCTGCCACAGCATGGCTTGATAAGCAGTGCATAGGTCTGTGCCCGGGATCCAAACTGGCGAACCCTGGGCTGCTGAAGCGGAGTGCACAAACTTAACTGCTATGCCACCAGGCCAGCCTCCCACACAATCTGATTTAGTCCTTGCGATAACCCTATGAAGTAGATGTTATGATAATTATTTTTTACAGATGAGCGAAAATGTTTTGGATAAGAAATATGCTCTAGGTCACCTAAGTTGGAATGGTCAGGGCCAGGATACAAACCCAGTTCTGTCTGACTCTGCAGCCTGTGCTCTTTGACCACTGTGTGAGGTTGCTAGTAGTAATTAGGAGGGCACTGCAGTCATTTGGGCAAAATACTTCAGAGTTTTTGGTCAGTGGATGTAGGAGATAAGAAAAAAATGGATGACTTAGATTTCTGGGTGAAATTTCTGGGTGAATGATCAAATTATTAGCCAAGATAGAGAGCATAAGAGGAAGAGCATATTTGGGGAAAATGAATTCAGCTCCAGATAAGCTGAGTTTATAAGCATACAGGAGTTTCGCTTCATATAGGTGAAGATATGTAATCAACAATTGAAACTTCGAGCTAGGCTAGAGGTCTGGGCTAGAGTTTTAGATTTAGGAGTCATCGACACAGAGGACATATGTGTATGTGATAGAAGCTGTATCTGGGGCTAAAGATTATCTTGGGACAAAATCAACAGAAGAAAAAAAACTTGCAGCACAAATTATATAGTTTCCTTTATATACAAAGATCTCTTACAAATCAATAGGAAAGAGATGAATAACCTGATAGAAAAATGAGTGAAAGTTGTAAATATAAGAAAAGGTACTCACCCTCATTCATTAAAGAAGTCCAAATCAAACAACCATGAGATCTCAGTTCTTACCTTACAGACTGGCAAAACAAATTTCAATGACTAGGTGTTGGTGAAAGTGAGGGTAAACAGGCAGTCTTGTGCATGATGGGGATATACATTTTTGTAACTTGTGGAGGGTAATTTGATGATACAAGACTTAAAAACATTCCTTTTGATCTGACAACTCCACTCATAGGAATTTTTTAAAATTTGCATATATAAGGATATTTACTGCAAAGTTATATAATATAATGTAAAACTGGCAAGCTACCTAATGTGCATCACAAGGAACTCGTCAAATAAGTTATATTAATTCAGTAGAATACTTATACAGCCATTAAAAAATGAGATAGAATTACATGTGCCAAGAGGTGATATGGAAAGATAGACTATTAAGTAGAAACAAAACAAAATGGAACAAAAACCCCAAGGTGCAGAACATTTGGGTGAAAGAACAAAAGATGTATTTATACATAATTTTTTTTTCTGGACAAATATACAAGACACTGTTAGCCTCTGGTTTCTTTTCTGTACTTTTTCAGTTTTTTACTAAGTGCAAACTTTACTTTTTTCATCCCTTTTATAGTCATCATAATAGTAAAAGATTAGGGGATAGAAATAGAGGAGGAGGGACTCAGTGCAGGCGATGCAGAAGGAAAGACTGAGGAACAGGAGAGTGATGTGGAAGTCTAGGGAGGAAAGGACTTTTCAGGAACAGCTGACAATGCCAAATGCTGCCTACAGAGCCAAGTTAAATAAGACAAGGACAGAAAAGGATTCATTAGTTTTGTCAGTTAGTAGGTAATTGATCACTTCAAGAGCAACTTTAGGTCAGATGGTGGGGGCGGAAGCATTATTGCAGTGGGTTGTGTGAATGGAGGGTGAGGAATTGGACACAGGGACAATAGGCCAGCATTTCAGGGTATTATCTGGAGGGAGTTGAGAGAGGTGTTTTTTTTAAGATGGGCAATTCTTGTATTTACTATATGCTTAAAGAAGATTGTCAATGGAGAGAGCGAATGAATCCTGGTACTACTGTTTAAACAAACCATTCATGGGGGAGAGAGTAGTTCTGTGATTTGATTCTCTAGTCTTTTTTCATTCAGTGCAGTGTTTCCCAGACCTCAGACAGGTAAGTATAACCTTCATGAATTTTTCTCTATTGGTGTAATTCCTGTACTATTAAAAAAAACACTTTTTAAGCTTATCTACACTTTTTTTGTAAAAGAAAACATTTCACCACCATCATAAAATAGAAAACAAAGTATTCTCCTAATACACATTAAAATAAACATCCAACCATTAAAAAATGTTCGGCTATTCACCACCTAAAATAATCACATACCCATACTTTGGAAACACTTAGGTAGTCAACACAGTGAAGAAACTCCGCAGGACGCTATGCTTGAAGATGAAGTAGAAAATTGCCTTAGGCATGGTCTAATCTTAATCTCCTCAAGGAGTCAGAGCTAAAATTGGCCCGAATAAGTACAAAGATACAAACTAGAAAATAATATGTGTCCTAAGAGGTATGCACAAAGTGCCATGAGAATTCACATGAGGGGGGTTCTGGCAGAGAGTTCTGGGAAGTGTTCATGGAGACACAGGCTTTTAAACTGGTGCTTAAAGGATAGGTAAAATGTGTAATTTCACAAATGGCAGGAGAGGATTACAAGAGGAGGGAAACTTGTGCACAAAGGCAAGAAGATGGGAAAGTTTATAATTCAGTTTGCTCAGAGCCTAGGATTTTGAAGGGGTGAAGTGGAAAAATAAGGCAGGAAAGGTAAATTCCCGTCAGACTCTTGAAGGCTATTAATTCTGGGGCCTGCATCTGAAGAGAAAGAAGTGTGTGGATAAAAATATTACAGTATATGAAGGAGAGAGTGGTTCTGTGATTTGGTTCAATGAATTACACCTCAGCTACCCAGTCCCATGGTTATACCCTAGATTTTGCCAGAATCTACACCTGAAATCACTAATTCAAGCATCAAGTTCTCTATGCACAACTTCCCAAGCTTACCCAGCTCACTTGCTCAAGTAACCCCACTGCAACGATTCTTTGACCTCATGAATCCTCCAATTCACTCTCCCCCCTCCCACATATGCTTTCTCTCTTTTTATCAGTTTCCTCCGATCTTTGCTTGTTCCCTTTCCCATCCCACTTAAATTCCTGCATTTATTATCATTATCACTCTTGCAAATATCTTCACCTCCCTAGGCAATACTCTAGAGTATTCCGGCCCGCCCCCCCCCCCTCCCCCCCTCGCCAAACCACAGGAATCCAAATATCTTCTCCATACTTTCACCTGTGTAGTTCAGGATTGTTGGAGACAGACACACAACTGGGCAGGTTAATGATCACCAACCTTGACTAGGCCCAACACTGCTGGAAATCCTCTTTTTCTCTCTGATTCCCCTGTGGTCTGAAACAACAGTTTCTTACCTTATTCACATTCTTCAAATCTCTCCCTCCTACTCTCTGCTTTTGACTTTGCCTCTTACTTTATTGCGAAAACACATGCCCATCAGATAAAAACTCCCTCATCTTCCTGTGGACTTTTTTTTTTTTAATGAAAATAGCTTTTTTTTTCTCCTAATGATAAAAATGTGTTCACTGTAGGAAACCGAAAAACTGAAAAATAGAAAGAAGAAAGTGAAGTTTCTCCCAAATCCTACCACTCAAAGATAAACATTGGCACTATGTTGGTAAATATTCTTCCAGACATGTTTTTCAAATATGCGTACAATTTTATATAAGTGTATACCTTCTGTGTAAAGTTTTTTCTTTCTTTTTTTTTTGATAATTTACATATTAGTGGGATTAGTTGGCCCCTGTAGCTGCTTATGCCTCTCCCTATTCATACCTAGGTGGAAACCATCCTAAGTGTTTTTTAGTCACTCAAATCTATATAATTACATCTTTTTGAGTAGTTGCTAACTTTTGTCTTGTTTAAACGCAGGAGTAGGATATAGGCATTTCCCTAGCTTTATACCTTTAGGTTGTTTTCACAGCAATGTTTTTAAAGGCTGTCTGAGTATTCCACTATCTGGTACCAATGTACCCTAAGTTGCATAACTAGTCCACATTTGACTAGGTGAACATTTAAGTGGTTTACAATGCTTCAGTGAATGTTTCTGTTAATCTGTCTTTGCAAATCTTTCCAACTTTTCCTTTAGAAAAATTCCTAGAAGAGGAATTGTCAGGTAACAGGGTACACACATTGAAGATTTTGATACATATTGCCAAACTGCCCTCCAGAAAAGTTGCAATAATTTGTACTCCTACCAACAGTGCACAAGAGTACCTGTTTTGTGTATCTTGCCAACTTGAGGTTTTGTTGATCTTTTTAACCTTTGCCAATCAGATAAATGAAAAAAATTTACCTTGCTTTAATTTGCATTTCTTTGATACTGATGAGGTTGGATATCTTTTCATGTCTTTATTGGCTATGTTTCTTCCTGTGTAAATTGTCTGATCATGTTCTTTGCTGATTTATTTGCTAGAGTATTTGTCTTTTTCTTTTTAATTTTAAGAGCTCTTTTTGTTAACTCTTTATGTGTCACATATGTTGGAAGAAACCTCTTTCTAGTCTGTGATTTGTCTTTCAACCTTACTTATAGTGCCATTCAGAAGATTTTAATTTTTATGTTGTAAAACCTATCATTATTTTTCCTTTTTGATTCTGGTTTTCAGATCGTGTTTAGATCTTGCCATTGTGTTTATAAAATGTTCACTCATATTTTCTTTTAGAAATTTTATGATTCAATTTAATCTTTGATTAATCCAGACTTTATTTTGGTATATGAAGTGAGGCAGGGATCTAGCTTTATTTTTTTAAATGAATATTCTGTTGTTTCAATGCTTTTGCGTGAATAATCCCTTTCCCCACTGATTTGAATCATTTCTCTGTACATTTGGGTCTGTTTCTGGACTCTATTTTGCTCCATTTATCTGTCTGCACAATTACCACACAATTTTATTTACGGTAGTTTTAATATCTTGTAGAACAAGCCCCTGTCCCTTACTCCATTATTACTTTTGTTTTTATAATTTTCCTGACTATAATTGCATATTTATGCTGAAAGTGTTTTTCTTCTTTTAACAAGATATAATGCTACCTTATTAAGTAATTTGCATTCTTGGTTGCTTACTCTCTTTTAATCCACTCTATTAATGAGAGTCTTAATAAGCTCTCATTAGAGTCCAAGCTGTTCACCAGCCTTATGTACTATCTATTTCACCATTTTTGCATCAATTTGTTAAAAGGTAGGAGCAGGAAATTTATAGTTTATGAAACGGTAAGGGAAGATAATCTACAGCATGTTGAGTGTCACTTAATGGCATTTTACTACTCACTCTTGCATATCCTCCTCAAGATGCACCTGCTTCTTTTATTATCCCTTTTCCTCTTCTCTCTTTTACCTTTTTTCTATCTCTTTTAATTCTCTCTTCCTTATAACATCTAGGGAGGCCATCTAGACCAAAAACAAAAATATTGGCGATACCCATACAACATAAGGGTTTTCACTCTTTCTGTATTTTTTCCTTTATTCACTGGCCCTTTCAATGCAGTGGTGCCTACTCAGTAGCTCTGACTTTGGAGTCATATTTACAGTCAGTATTAGTCAATAGAGTCATTTGATTCTGTATGCCTTATATAATCTTGGACAATATAACATCAATTCTGCTACAGACATTATTAATCATTAAGAGCTCTAAGATGCGTGTGAAAAGACCACTGTAGGCTTGAGAGCTAGGTCTAATTATCACCCTGTTCATTCATCTGTTCATCCGTGAATGAAGAAGTTATGGTAGAGCCAGGTGCCTGGGTGGGATGATGGAAATTGGGAGCCTTTAGTTTGCCAGCCAGAAAGTGGGGAACAATAATGGGAACTAACATTTGTTAAGTATGTACTGTACGCCAGCCACTGTTGTAGATGACTTATGCACAATATTCTATTGAACCAGAAGCCTAGAACTACTTTTATTCCCATTTTACAGATGAGGAAATTGAGGCCCTGAGATTGTAAGTAGCTAGCACCAGGTCACACAGTATGCGGCGCAACAGGATTCAGTCAGCTATGGGATGCTCTACTGCCCTTTTCCACCAGACTTCTTTCCCTAATTTAGCAATCTAGGATTGTGAAATGAATACCAAATTGCAGGATGCAAAAGAAGAGGAGTTCATCGCAGTACTTTCTTTTCCCTTTTTTCTTCACTCGATGTGATCTAGATGCAGAGAATTTTGAAGAGGGAAAAGAAATTTTTTTTTAGAAACCCTGTCTTTTCCATGATAAATATTGACTGACTCTGAGAGTCTTAGGGTCAGAAGGGAACTGTTAATGTTCCCAGAATTGAAGCCACAATCTCTCTTCTTCTTCGTGTTAGCCAGCTCCCTGTCTGGCTTGACTGAAGTGCATAAGGCTTAAAAGAGGGGTATGTGAGGGAAGAAGTGGGAGGCTTGTTAATGGTTTGATTTTGGGTTCTTCTCCAAATTTGGAGGCATCATGCCTTAACACTGTTGTCTCTGAATGGAGGTTTAAGTAGAGGCCAAGTCCTTGGTTGCAAGCATCACCTATAGATTCAGCTGGAATCAAACATGTTACTATATATTCCGCCCCCACCCCTAAAACCATTTGTTTGGAGATGGGTGGGACCCCTGCCCTCGCTGTGAGCCTGCAGAGGAGTCAGTTTCCTTCAGGTTTGACAAGGGCAGGGCAGCAGAAACACGTCTTGGAACTACAGGGTTTTTCAGTCTCCTCAATTTCTGATATTTCTGACCGTTGCCGCTCTTGATTAAACAGTGGGCAACGTTGTTTACTTTCCCTTCCTTCCCTTTGTCCTTCCTTCCTCTTCTCTCCCCTTTCCCCTCCCTGGTCCCTCCATCCCTGTTCTTCCTTTTGAAGGCCTGCTCTCCTCTTTCCCGTAACCACGGTCGTCTGCACTCTTCTTCCCTCAATAACTGTAGTCTGCTTCCGGTATTACATCATAATTCCTTACTCTCTGAACTGCATCCCCAGGACCGCAGGCCTAGACTGCGCGTCAAGGCGTAAGCTCTGCCGTAGAGAGTAAAGGCCAATAGGGAGTGGCCTTTTGTTGACGTCACTATAGGGGGAGGAGCTTCCCGAGCGTCGACGGGCACCTTGGATCCAGTTTGTGGAGACTGCCCTGTTGCGCGTTGGCGGTCCCGGCTGAGGTGAGTGATTTAGTAGGTAGGATAGGGCTAGAGGGTCAGGTACAGGTTGGTTGAGTGGTTTCTAACTAGCAAGAAGATGCGGCCATTAGGTCAACACTTTTTAGAGTGGCCCTGCGGCAATGATTTTGAACTACAGAGCTGCTGTAGCTGCCTCTCAGGTGAAGGAAGATGGGCAGAGGCAGGATTTTTTGACTTGAACGCAGTATGGGGAGCGTGCGGGGCCACTGAAAGCGGGAGATAGTAGTTATTGTAGTTTGGTTGTGAAGGACCTAAATTCCGTTGAAGCCGTATGGTTGGTGACTGCTGGGGGCGGGCAGCTGGAGGCGCTAGCTGGGTCTGTGAGAGCGGGAAAAAGGACGGTGAGTGATTGGATGCTTTGCACGTATGGGCGGTGGGAAGAAGGATTTTGAACCAATTAGGAGGAGGCAACGAGTACCAGCCAGGCCAATCACAGGGTACCCTGAGCCTTGGTTTCCGGGTTGCCAGGCGGATTATGGTAAGAAAAGATTTGGGATAAAAATTTACTCCAGGCCCGACTCCTGTCGTCTGACAGCCTGGCCCCACCCCTCCTTAACCACTTTTTCTGTGTTTTAAAATTTCCTCGGCACTTTTTTCTTTTGGATAACAAATACCTGGAAAAATTTCGCTGAAAAGAAATTTATTGAGGAGCTGGAGGATAAAGGACGGAATATTAAAATATTTTTTTTTTTATTTCATAGGCTTGAGCCAGGGCTTTAAAAATGGACGATGTTGATTTTCGTTTCATGGACTTTAAAGGTATATAGCTTTACGTGGTAGTAAAGAAAATGTCAAACTGTTTGCTGCCTTATCTAAAATCTTCTAAATGTATCTCGTTTCCGAATTTTATCTCGTTGGAGTATCCATAGCTCCAACTTTTTCTTATTTATGTACCAGAAAAACAATGTAGATGTTTAAGACACTGGAACCCTTTTATAAGCTAGTGTAGGGAAATTGAATTCACAATTCATAGCTTGTTTTCTCAGGAGTTTTATGGCATGCAAAATAACACTGGTTTAATCTGAAATAGAAATCTACTGTGTTAAAAGTACCTTAAAAAAATTACTGCAAGAGTCTTCCTTTTTGCAAGGGAAGAATAAAACAGCAAAATGCAGAAGTCTGCATGGTGCACAATGTCTGGCTCTGACATACTTTCCGAGTTTTTTGTCTGAGACGACTGAAGTAGCAAATGAAACTGTGCTACCTGCTAGCTTCCAGTTCAAAAGATACTGACAACGAAACTTCATTTATTCAGTATACTGTCAGGAAATTAGATATTCTGTATGTATGGATTTACCAAATAAATATTATTTATGAAGTAAAAAAAAAAAAAATTTCTGCAAGATCCTGGAGTGCCTTTCCATAATCGTCAGTGAAAAATAAATTATATCCTGTGTAGTGTCAGGTTTAAGTGCATTTTATTGTATCTTAATTCTTTTGAAAAGTGGTAATCCCTGTTTAGTATTTATGGGAATTCTTAATAAACAAAAGCAGTTGGACCAGAACAAGAGATTCCTCAACCCTGCCAGATATGGGAGCGTTTATGGTATTTCCTTTTTTCTGGGGACATGATTAGACCTATGATATATTCACATTCATATATATTTCATATTATTCATATAATAATGAAATATGTGTAGCCAGGGCGGCTAAAAATCCATGATTTAAAAAAATTGAGGTCAATATTTTGTTAATTCTTGTCATTTTAAAACAACAGCAACAGGGCTTGGCCCGGTGGCGGAGTGGTTAAGTTCACGCGCTCTGCTTCAGCGACCCAGAGTTTCCAGGGTTCAGATTCTGGGCGCGGCCGTGGCACCGCTCATCAGGCCACAGGGAGGCGGGATCCCACATGCCACAACCAGAGGCACTCACAACTAGAATATACAGCTATGTACTGGGGGGCTTTGGGGAGAAGAAGAAGAACAAATAAAAAAGACTGGCAACAGATGTTAGCTCAGGGCCAATCTGTAAAAAAAAAAGAAAAAACCAACAGCAACAAAGCTCACTGCTTCCTACCTTAAGTTTTAGTTTAGGATGTAGTATCTTACAGATAAAAACATGGATTAGGGATTATGACTTTTAAGCATATGGTATTTGAGACCTTTTATTTACATAAATATTTGAAGCACACAGAAAAGTATAGAAAGTAATATAATGAATACCTGTATACCTACCACTAAGTTTGTTGAATCTTAACAGTTTGTCATCTTTGAAAATTTTACATAAATTGTATCATTTTGTATGATTTTTTTTCTGTAACTTGTCTTTTTTTGCTCAGCATTATGTTTTGGTTATTTACCCATTTGGATATTTTAGCTCTAATTCATTTATTTCCACTGCTGATTAGTAGTATTACATTGACTAGAAGTGTACCACAATTTGTTTATCCAATCTCCTTTTGTTGGATATATGAGTTGTTTCAAATATCTGCTATTACAAACAACGGCACTACCAGCACTACAATGAACATTGTGTTTCCGAGAGCTTGGCAGGAGCTTTCAAACATTTTTGACTACCACCCATGGCAAGGAAATATATTTTATATCACCTCCAGTACATACACACTGTATCAAACGTTTGAAACAGTTTTATGCTTATTACATGCAGTGCACAATGATATTTTCTATTCTATGCTTTTTTATCAAAACATGCTGGTTATGACCCACTAAATTGATTTATTTCTTGAGCACTAGTGGTTGAGGCTATAGGGCAGTGCTGTCCCACTGAAACAGTGCAAACACACTATGTTTTTATATTTTATATTTATATTTTTATTGTAAATATAAGTAAATATATATATTTAATATATAATATACTATTTTATATTACATAATATTGTATAATATTTATATTACGTATTTTATATAATATGTAATAGAATATATTATATATTAAATATACTTGTATATTTAATACTTTATATATTTATATATAAATATAAACAAATATAAATAAAAATAAATATATTTATGTTTTATTATATATATTATAATTTTATATTTTCTAGTAACCACATTAAAAAAAGTTAAACAGACGAAATTAATTTTAACAATACAAATGATTTAGCTTAGTATATCCAAGATGTTACCATTTCAACATGTAATCAATATAAAAATTATTAGAGATATTTTACATTCTTTTTTGTTTCTTAGAAAGTGTTTGAAGTCCAGTATGTATTTTATACTTAAAGCATGTCTCATTTTGGACTCGCCACATTTCAAGTGCTCAGAAGTCACATGTGGCTAGTGGCTACCCCATTGTGGCAGCGCTGTTCCAGGGTACACATTTAGGAGTGGAACTGCTGGGTCAAAAGCTATGAGCATCTTTAACTTTATAAATATTGCCAAATTGCTGTCCAAAGTAGTTTTAACAATTTATACTCCTTCTCCCTTTCTCTTTTCCGTATATCCTTGCTAATATTTGATATTATCAGACTTAAAAAAATTTGTAGGTTTGAAAGGTACTGTTGTTTTTAATTAATGTTTTATTTTGGCATAATTTTTGATTTATAGAAAAGTTGCAAAGATAGTGCAGAGAGAGTTCCCATATACCCCTCAGCCAGTCTCATTTTCTGTAATGTTATCATCTTACATTTCCCTGATAACTAGTAAAGTTTAGTGTATTTTCATAGATTTATTGGCCATTTGAGTTTTCTGTACACATAACTTCTTTAGTCAAGTTTTGTGAAAATGGACAATAAAAGGTCATACGATGATTCCAGCTCATTTTCTTCTTAGGGAGAATTAAGATTATGACAGTTTACAACCTTGCGAAATTTCAGTTGTACATTATTGTTAGTCATGTTGTAGGTGCACCACTTCACCCTTTGTGCCCACCCCCAACCCCCCCTTTCCCCTGGTAACCACCAATCAGTTTTCTTTGTCTCTATGTTTAAGTGGAGTCATACAGAGTTCGTCTTTCTCTGTCTGGCTTATTTCACTTAACATAATACCCTCAAGGTCCATCCATGTTGTTGTGAATGGGATGATTTTGTCCTTTTTATGGCTGAGTAGTATTCCATTGTATATATAGACCATATCTTCTTTATCCAATCATCCGTTGATGGGCACTTAGGTTGCTTCCACATCTTGGCTATTGTAAATATTGCTGCGATGAACATAGGGGTGCATGGGACTTTTGGAATTGCTGATTTCAAGTTCTTTGGATAGATACCCAGTAGTGGGATGGCTGGGTCATAAGGTATTTCTATTTTTAACTTTTTGAGAAATCTCCATACTGTTCTCCATAGTGGCTGTACCAGTTTGCATTCCCACCAGCAGTGTATGAGGGTTCCTTTTTCTCCCCAACCTCTCCAACATTTGTCACTTTTTGTTTTGGAAATTTTTGCCATTCTAACAGGTGTAAGGTGATATGTTAGTGTAGTTTTGATTTGCATTTCCCTGATGATTAGTGATGATGAGCATCTTTTCATGTGTCTGTTGGCCATCCGTCTATCTTCTTTGGAGAAATGTCTGTTCATGTCCCCTGCCCAGTTTTTGATCGGGTTGTTTGATTTTTTGTTGTTGAGCTGTGTGAGTTCTTTGTATATTATGGAGATTAACCCTTTGTCAGATAAATAACTTGTAAATATTTTTTCCCAACTAGTGGGTTGTTTTTTTGTTTCAATCCTGTTTTCCCTTGCCTTGAAGAAGCTCTTTAGTCTGATGAAGTCCCATTTGTTTATTCTTTCTATTGTTTCCCTCATCTGAGGAGTTATGGTGTCTGAAAAGATTCTCTTGATACTGATGTCAAGGAGTGTACTGCCTATATTCTCTTCCAGAAGACTTATTGTTTCAGGCCTAATCTTTAGGTCTTTGATCCATTTTGAGTTTATTTTGGTGAATGGTGAAAAAGAATGGTCAATTTTCATTCTTTTACATGTGGCTGTCCAGTTTTCCCAGCACCATTTGTTGAAGAGACTTTCTTTTCTCCATTGTAGGCCCTCAGCTCCTTTGTCAAAGATTAGTTGTCCATAGATGTGTGGTTTTATTTCTGGGCTTTCAATTCTGTTGCATTGATCTGTGCACCTGTTTTTGTACCAGTGCCATGCTGTTTTGATTACTGTAGCTTTGTAGTATGCTTTGAAGTCAGGGATTGTGATGCCTCCAGCTTTGTTCTTCTTTCTCAGGATTGCTTTAGCAGTTCGGGGTCTTTTGTTGCCCCATATGAATTTTAGGATTCTTTGTTCAATTTCTGTAAAGAATGTCATTGGAATTCTGATTGGGATAGCGTTGAATCTGTAGATTGCTTTAGGTAGTATGGACATTTTAACTATGTTTATTCTTCCAATCCATGTGCATGGAATGTCTTTCCATCTCTTTACATCGTCATCAATTTCTTTCAGGAAAGTCTTGTAGTTTTCGTTGTATAGGTCTTTCACTTCCTTGGTTAAATTTACCCCAAGGTGTTTTATTCTTTTTGTTGTGATTGTGAATGGGATTGAGTTCTTGAGTTCTTTTTCTGTTGGTTCGTTATTAGAGTATAGAAATGCTACTGATTTATGTATGTTGATTTTATACCCAACAACTTTGCTGTAGCTGTTGATTATTTCTAATAGTTTTCCTATGGATTCTTTGGGGGTTTCTGTATATAAGATCATGTGTCTGCAAACAGCGAGACTTTCACTTCTTCATTGCCTATTTGGATTCCTTTTATTTCTTTTTCCTGCCAAGTTGCTCTGGCCAACACCTCCAGTACTATGTTGAATAAGAGTGGTGAGAGTGGGCACCCTTGTCTTGTTCTTGTTCTCAGAGGGATGG